CTCTCTCTCTCTCTCTCTCTCTCTCTCTCTCTCTCTCTCTCTCTCTCTCTCTCTCTCTCTCTCTCTCTCTCTCTCTTAGTCTCTCGATACTGAGAAGTCAGGTAGCTGGAGGGGAAGGGAGAGATGGTGGACTGGAGGAAGAACAAGAACTCTCTCTCTCTCTTTCTCGTGGTGTCGGTACTAACCTGTGAAGGTGGCACCTTACTGCACGTACCTCGAAGACGAAGCTGGAGCGATGGCGACACAGGTAAGGTCCCAGGTAAGTCCCTGGCCTCCGCCACTCTCCTCGCTCTCTAACACTACTCTAAGCGCCCAACGCTGAAGGCTACTCCTAGTTACTACAACAGCAGCGCTCCCAAGAGTGTTGCTGCCGCATCCTGAAGACTACCTCATGGACTGCCTCCTGTCTGCAGGGCAGACCGGCACTATATAGTGCTGGTCCGGCTGGGAGGCTGCTCTTGCCAATGCCGAATTGTGTCAGACCCTCGCGCTGAAGCTCAAAAAAAGGTTGTCTTGAAACGGGCCTAAAAGTGGTTCGCGCTTATCCCTCATCTAGCATCTAAGTTTCAGGAAAGGTCGACTTTATGAGAGCCTAAAATTGGCCCCCTCCTTTTTGGCTTTTAGGCTGAAACGACACAGGGCCTAGAGGGCCTTTATTCTTCCTTGTCGGGCCCTGCAAGCCCGTGTGGTGCGCAGTATGCCACACCCCCCCCTCCTTGAAAGACCGAGATTACCTACGAGGGCGAAGCTGCTTGTCGGAGGGAGGAACCAAAGTCCGGGTGGGAGGGGCAGGTAGTGAAGCTTCCTTAGTTAGTCTTTGTCGTTCATAGTGAGCGTAGATCAGAGGTGTCGATGCTTGCAAATCTGCTCATGAAATCCATCGAGTGTCGTCAGGATGGCATGCTTTGAAGGTAACTTTGTATTGTCGAGGCTTGTTGTCGTACTTGTGATCCGTGATGACGCGATCAACTCCCTGATGACCATCCATAGGAGGGTCTTGCGATCGTCGGCCAGGGAAATCGTCGCTCTTAGTCGGTGTATATGTCGCCAGCTTCGAGGCGTGACATACTGGGTGGACCATTAGATGCGGAGGGATGTTGATCACAAAAGATGGGCTATCGGGCTTATCGCTTGCGGCTGAAAGGACGGTCCATGGTCCAAACCACTTGGGGAGTAGCTTGCATGAAACATCTTGTTCGAGCGCAAACTCTTCCGTGGAGACCCAAACCAGATCGTTGGCGCGAATGGGACATGGCATGTGACGCCACCGTGGTGCAACTCGAATGGAGTCACGCCGATCGCTGGATGCAATGAAGTGTTGTAGGCGAACTCGATGCCGGGGAGGTGGTCAACCCAATCCTTCTGATCCGGACGGATGAGCATACGAAGCATCATTTGAGCAGTCTGATGTGCTCTCTCCGTTTGCCCGTCCGTTTGTGGGTGTCGAGCCAAACTTGTTTTCATTTCGGTGTCAAACTCCTTCATGAGGGAAGTCCAAAATGCCAACATGAACCGAGTATCGCGGTCACTAACGATGTCTTCCGGAACACCATGGCTGCAGATCCAGCCGGTATGAAAGAGCCACGCGAGCTCAAAAGCCGTCGCGTAGTACTCGCATGGAAGAAACCGTGCGAACTTACTCAAACGGTCAACGACCGTGAGGATGTCGCCGTGCCCGAGGCACTCGCGAGGAAACGGGCCGGTGACGTCCATAGCAATGGAGAGGCCGGGTTCCCGGGGAATAGGCAACGAGCGCAACTCGCTGTAGGGATTGCGGTTGCGGGGCGTGCTCTGTCGACAAACTTCGCAAGAGTCGCAATACCGAGTGACATCAGTGATGGCGTCGGGCCACCGAAATTGTTGCCGAAGTCGTGCAATAGTCCAATTGACTGCGAAATGGCCGAAGAGTCACAAGTCGTGGTACTCGCCGAGAAGGCAAGTTCAAAGACGACGGTCTCGTGGGACGCAAAGGAAGTTCTTGCCTCATGAGTGGAGAAGCAAGTACCCATCGACGATGCGCTAATTGTTGGTCGACGGGTGATCCGAAGATAGTTGCGCATATAGCGTGGCAAAATCCAAATCGGACTGCTAGCCCCGAATGAAATGTCGTTGGAGTTCCTCGTGGAATGTGAAGGCATGATGTGTCATAGCGCAAAGATTGAATCTTCACGAGAGTGCATCTGCTGCGCAATTGGAGAGGTCGGCAAGATGTTTCAGTGTGAAGTCAAATTGGTCGATGAAATGCATTCATCGTCCGATAGTGCTGCTCACCGTATCTTGCGTCTTATAGTAGGTCAACACGTTGCCATCAGTGACCCATGTGAACCTACAACGCCCAAGGAGAAAGTGCACCCATTGCTTGAGAGTCATCTTGAACGTGAGCAGCTCCTTCCTCGCATCATCAAGTGAGTTGATGGGAGGCACCTTGTGGCTAGAGTACTCCACGGGGTGCCAGTCGTCGCAAGGTAGTCGCGAAGGTCAACAACCCCTACTCCGATGTCCATCAACGGAGCTGGTACTACAGTGTGCGAGTAATCCCGCAATTGTGCCACGAGCACATTGCAATGCGGTTTTGGCAATCGACTGTCGGGGGAAGAGGCATCCATTGGAAGTCCACGAACGTCAACGGGTTGAGTCTCTCAAGTTGTGACCATTACGTCGAATCCCCGTCCAAAGTTGGTGGCGAAGCTGCCAAATCGGTTGTCGATGGTGATAAAATTGTGCATGCGGTGGAGTCTTGCACGTGGAGTGGCTGGTCCAATGGTGGGACCAAGTGGACAGCACAATCCTCGTAAGTGTACCGAGGACTTTCGACATCCGCATTCTCCCCAGACATCTGCATTCTCCCTAGATATGTAGGAGGCCGCTAGCAAGGCAGCGAAATCTGGAGGAGTGAGAGGTGGAGTCGCCTCACCTCCCGTGCAGCTCAGTTTCCTGAGGTGGTTTGAGGTGGAACAACCTCCTTGCCTTGATCTTAGCCTTGGGAGGTCTTGTGCTTGGTGCTGTTGCACCAATAGCAGCAGCCGTATCAGCTGCGATACTTGTATTCAGCCTCGGTCAAGTTGAACTTGACCCATGGTATTGGTTGTCCATTTCCAGCCGGTGATGGGGTTTTCGCCTTCCCTTTTCCACAGGAGTTGTTGTTACTTCACGGCTAAACAGCGGCCACCTAATCTCCCTCACATGATGTTGGGGTGACTGACGGGTCTTCCACGAGGTTGTCCGGTTGGACTGCAGCAACGGGCTTTAGACGCGGACCAAATTTTCCTTTCTCCACATAGGCTGGCTGCCACACTGATTTCTCGTGTGCAGCAGCCCGGTTGGTCTTGATGATCTCACGAGCCTTGTCGATGATTTGGGCGAAGGTCATGTGTTGTTCGTGATCATCGAGTGTGAGGCTCAAGGCGGTACACGACCGGTTGTAGAACTCCCGGCGCAGATGCGCAAATGGCAAGTCGAGATCGGGTGTTGCCATGATCTTTTGTCATTTCGTGAGCCAGTCGCGTGTTGGTGTGTTGCCTTGAGTCATGGCGAAGAGGCGGTTGATGGCGAGCGTCGGAGCGTTGTCAACAATGAACCGCTTCTTCCATTCCTTCGTCAGATCGTCCCAAGAGATCTACTTGTGCACGTCGGCGACCTGGACCTCGTGGATGGTTGCCATGTGGCTAAGCCAGATCTGGCATCCGCCCTAGGCGTTGAGGAACAACACCGAGATGTGCAAGTGATCGGGGACCTAATGAATCTGAAGCTCCATCGTAAAGCCCCTGCCAGCAGGGGACCGGGTCCTGATGCGTATAGTCATCAAACTTCTGAATCTGGAACGTCTGCATCTTGTACTGTCGCGATGCATTGGTGCTGCAATTGTCAGGCGGCTGGTGTAGTTGTCGAACCTCATTCTTCAAGATGTCGAGATGCTCGCTGATGGAGGTTGGTGCGGCGAAGTTGCTGATGTCGCCGATCATTGCAAGAACATGATCAACTCGTTGCTCCAACTGGTGGGTAGAGCCTACATTGATGGATTCGCCACCATCTGGTCTTGGCGCTGCTTGCTCCAAGTCCTGTACACGGGTATGAAGTGCCCATGTAGCATCCTCGTGGTTCCGCGCTGCCTGTTCGAGAGTCCCTAGTTCTTGGTGTTGTTTCTCTAACTCGGACTGCAGGTGGGTTACAAGTGAAAACCAACCGGGTCACGAGTTCTGAGAGAAACTCCTTCTGCCGCTCTTCCGGTGTTGCATCATCGTCGCCCTCGGATGGTTCAAAGTGCCAGAACTTAAGCCTTTCGAGGCTCAAGTTCTGGCACTTTGAACCATCCGAGGGCGACGACGATGCAACACCGGAAGAGCGGCAGAAGGAGTTTCTCTCAAAACTCGTGACCCGTGTGGCTTCGTGTCGCTGCAGAAAATCTTGGGTCGGCTTGCAGCGGGCCTGGGCATCTGCGTCAGTTGCGGCCTGAAGCCGCTACTTTTCAGCTGCTGCCTCCGCTTCAACCTGTAGGTGGGCAGCCTCGGCTGCCGCTTGGCGTTGTTCCTCATCTTCGATCAGTGCGAGCTGATCTTGGATCCGCTGTCGGAACTCGGCAATGGACTCGCTGGCGAGTTGGCCTGGCATGCCCAAAACAGGAACCGTCATGGTGGCAGGCCACCGCTGAGGTGTCACTGCTGCCGCGGTACTGCTGACGTGGCACTGCTGACGCGGCACTGCTACTGTCGTGGCACTGCTGCTGTCATGGTAATGTTGACGTGGCACTACTGCTGTCAGTGTCGTCGCCCATACGTCGTAGGGGGGGTCTCCGTACGGCCCGTGCGTACGGACGGACGAACGGTCGTACGGGCGTACAGACGACGGGCGTCCGAAGGTGTTTTAGGGGCAAAAAAAAAATAAAAAAATAAAAATAAAAATATGGGGTTGTAGATCAATCAATCAATTTTTTATTTTTTTTACTCCCAGGACCAAAAAAAAAAAATCTCTTTTTTCTTTGTTTTTTTGAATGGGGGGATACCCCCTGACACCCGACCCCCCCCCAGCCCATCCACCCCCTCAACACCCCCCCGGAAGGCCACAGACGGAGGGCCCAAAGTCCGTACGTACGGGCTGTATGGGTGTCGGGGGGGGGGGCGTACGTACGAACGGGCCGTATTCGTACGGCCGTATACACGCTGCTGTCGTGGCACTACTGTTGTCGTGGCACTGATGCTGTCGTGGTACAGCCGGCGTGGCACTGCTGCTGTCATGGTACTGCTGATGTGGCACTACGGCTGACGTGGCACTTACCAAACCAGAAATGCAGGCAAAGGGTTGGGTGGGAGGAAAAAGCAGGAGGTAACCAAAGTGCACTTTCCATTCCCAGTCCTACCGGGTAGTCAAAAAAAAAAAAAAAAAAA